CTTGTATTATTTTAATATCGTTTTGTTTGATAACACGTTCAGCATGGAACTGTAATTTGTATAAACACATTGCAGAAACACCGTATGCGATATTCCACAAGTTGTTTATTAATTGATTAATTAGGTAGCTAATAAAAATTAATGTAACCATAAAAATTCCTTGCAATCGAATACGATCGAAGTTTTTAATTGAAGTGTAATTTTTATGTTTTCTTTATCAATATTTCAATTCTCTAATGTATTTGCTTGCTTGTTTAAATGTTCAATAATTAATGCCGTTATTATAATTTTGAAAAAGCTGCTGATAAAAGGAGATAAAGAGACATTTAATGAAATTGCGTATTCATTTATGTCGGTAAGTACATACTGATTCAATTTTGAATGGATTATCACTGAGATGCAAAAGTAGAATCATTTAGATTTGTAAAGTGTATAAGATTACACTATCATATTGTTAACATTATGTATCTCATTCATCTAGAACAGTTTTTAGTTTTTGTGGAAAATGTGCAATGATAGTCAGAAGTAGATCAGATTAACTCTATATCCATTAGACCAACAAACATTAACTATCAATGATTGCTTTAGAAAAATGTGAAGTAACAATGTAAAGACATTATAAATATAAATTGTACAGGTACCCGCATAGTTTATGAACGTGATTTCTTGATGAATTTACAAAATTCTCCTATATCGCGAACACCGCCACAAAATGTATCGTCTATACCAACGGAATTATTGAAAAATACACCTTTGAATAGCACAGCACACGTCAAAGCTCAAACCAACAGAGGTCAGTATACTTTTATTGATTTTGCAAACAACACAGAAAATTCTACATAACATATTTCAACAAAGATGTTGCAAATAGATTATTATGGATCTATAATATTTCTTCAAAGTTTTAATACTAAATAATTATAATATTGAATAATAATAATCATGTGTCCAATATAATTCTCTTATATAAATTTATTACAGATACTCCAGCAATAGAAGAGTCCACAGAACAGTTTGAAATGGACATGTAACAAAAATTGTGATTACAATTGTGGTTCTAATTGCATCAATTGTTTATACAAATAGTGATAATCGATTTAATTGAAGAAAATATATTAGTAACATACCCTTTTGTATATCATGCTCTGTTGGATCTTATAGGCATAGGTTTTTAAAGGATTCAATTAAAAGTCCACAATTAACATATAATGATAGCAGATTAACAAAAGAAATGTATAATAAATTGTTTTGTACGCTACATTAAAAAAATTGGTATCATTATTAATAAATAATATTTTGACAGTATTAGTAGGTATATTTCATAAATATTCTTTTTGACCTTCTTAGATTTATTTTGCATTTTCGTATTTACATGTATTAAATAAGGTTTCTTAGGTATTGAATAAAAATTTAGTTAATAACAATGTGCATTTTATGCATGTTCTAACTGACTGATTTGAGACAACCTATTTAGTATTACTTTTGCAACATTAACTTTGGTACCAGTATCATCGTAATCTTCGTAATAAATTAATTCACAAAGATCTTTGCATTCCGGGTCATCATCTATTAATTCTTTTAATTTTTGATAAAATTTTTTTATAATTTCTTTACTGTATTTCTTATAGATTACTGACTCAGAATGAGCATGCTTTTGACTTTCAAAGAATGTCAACAAGGGTGTGGCACCTTCTGCCACTATATAAGTAGAACTGGAGTTCGACTGTATGCCACCCTCATAAATTTTGTATACGTTATTACGATACGATCTTCCTTTTACTCCTGCTCGATCACGTTTTTCTTCTTCTAACTCAACGACGCTTTCCATCCATCGATTAGAAACTTCTTTAAGATCTGGTGGTATGTACGACGATGCAGGAATTAAGATCAATAACTTGTGAGTAGCTATCGATATATTATGCTGATCCTCAATGTTTTCAATTTTCTCTCTTATACCCTTATGACGGGTACCAGTTGAAGGAATTATGAGTTTTAAATATCCATGATAATAACTCAATGCCATGTATGTACCACAATCTAAACCTTCCATCGAATCAATTGTGAAAATATTCGAATGAAAGTACTGCATGACTTTCAAAAATAGCATTGAAATTGTACTATAAATCATACATGTTAATGCATTAAATTGTATCTTCCAAAAGAAGTCGTGCTTGATAACAATAATAATCGTAAAGATTATTAAATAAACAATGAAAATCATCGTAAATGGATTCAACATAAATAGAGTCTCCACATCTGTCTTCATACTATTACGAGAATAATTTGCAAATAAATTTTGAATGAATGTTACTGTAAAATTTGCAGTCATAAGTGCAGTATTTAAAACTACTATCATACATAAGTGATCCGTAAGAGAAACTGATGGATTCCGATATTTTAGTAGTTGCATACTTATTATCAACAATACGTGCAGAATGACAAAACTAATAACACTTAACCTTACTTTATCACGCATATGGCTTACATTTCCCCTCTTATTTAAGATTATCAAATAGACGTATCTAGTCTTCTCGATTACTTCAAATCTGAATAAATGAAAAATTAATCGAATTCTTTTTAAACTTTAATATACAGCTAGTATTCTCCTCTTACGTTTCTGTTTGCATTTTGCAGGTATTGTGAACGTACCTTAATACGCAGTATCTCGTGTTAAACGAAACTGTGCGTATCGTAACACCCGACAGGTGTTAAACAAACGAACAACACGATTAAACAATCGGTCTTACAATAAATTATAGTTTCTGAATTTTCCTTTAGTAAAATCATATGATCGAATAACATATATATATATATACATTTACGATACTCGCATTGTAATCAAAATTCCAATTCTCAATGTTCTTTATTGCGCAGCGGAAAATCGTTCCGGAGGATTTCGTTCGTTTCAGTGAAAAAGATCTTTGAAAATTTCCTTTGTACCGACGAACCGAAATAGAAAGGAAACCGACGAGTTTATAAAGTGTAGAACGATCCGAACTTACAACGGGAAATACCGTGATAACCGAGTGCTGTGAGGAGGAAGGAAGATACGGGAAAGGGAAGACGGAAAGAGGCAACGCGTACTGCCAGGTCAGAGCGCTGTTAACGTAAGCGAAACAAGTCGATTGACCTATGGATACAATCCGATGCACGCGCGATCGATAAAGTCTATAAAATTCGGACTTGTCCCGGCGCGAAATTTTCACCGTGAAATACGAATTTGCCTGTTGAAACGCGTCACGGGGAACAGTGGGCCCCGCTCGTCGAAACCGCCGCGTCGCGGGGTAAATATTCCAGCAGGTGATATTTGCTGGTGATTAGCGCCATGTCTCACAATGGACCAATCAGCTGCTTGGTAAACCGCCGTAAAACCTCGAACCTGTCCGCAGACGAATGACAACAAAAGAGTCTGATAGAAGTCGCGCGCGAGACGGTGGATTTTTTCACGACTGCATAGGAAATTCGCTGTTTCCTCGGTTTCGTTGCTCGCCGCGAATAACGTCGCTTTGGCCGTAGTGAAAGTGTCGAAGAATATGAAGAGAAGAAATGTCGAGTGCGGTAAGCTTCGGAGGCCCTTGAAACGCAACAAGCTCACCGAGGGAATCTACGGAAGGTAAATTTTCGCCGCCATATGTCTCATTGGAATGGCTAATTTTAAAAATAACTAAACGTTTCTATGGATCGTTCCTATTAAATGATACGAATCCGCCGAACAGACACTTCCCTGGCTTTCGGTCGACCATATGCGCTATCGAGCTCCCCCGCAATACATTGTGTCAGCGTGAGATTGTCAGCCGCTTTCCAGAAGCTGGCTGACACAACTTGACACTTACTGAAACTTTAAACCATGTGTATATACCTGTTTTTGTGAGAGCCCGCGTTATGTTGCCCGCTTGGGAATCTTTGGTCGAACCGTTGAATAATCTCAATTGGCAACGATCAACGATTCGCTATGAGATTATTTGTTTAACTATTGTTTTCAATCGTTTACCGGTTTTCACTGTGTACACAGTTATTCAGAATAATTAATAATTTGTTGGTGTAAGTTGATGCTCGATTCGCTGGTTTTTCCTTTCTTGTTCGACTGTAAGTTTCTCACATTTAGTTTCTTTATCATAAACGCTTACAGGCAGTAGTAGAAGCTAATCTTTTTCTATCTTTGTCGTTCCGTGAGGATTGATTTGGATTCTGTTGTTCTGAGAGCATTCACGACAATGTTTTGATACCATTGGAATGAAACGTTTGATCGAATTCGATGAAACCAAGTTTCTTGGGAAATATGTTTTATATCGCGAAACCTGATGCAATTAATTATTAATTGTCCAAAGTTTCTGATGAATGTATTGATTTATCAAACTGTAATTTGTAGATGTGAACATTATATGCCGGTATGTGATTTCATTGTAGAAAGTAACCCAGTGTTGTTTTTTATTTCAGTACATTACTTTATCTAAAATTTCTTCTACTATGGGCTATGGTAATTTTGGCAGACTTCATTTTAGAATTCCGTTTTGAATTTTTGTGGCCGTTTTGGCTACTTCTCAGAAGTGTTTACGATTCTTTTAAATATCAAGGCTTGGTAAGTATTAACACTACATCATAAATGTTTCTTCGATATAATTTGAACGAGCATGATCGGTCTCATAATAATATAAATTATTTTGTTTTCAGGCCTTCTCTGTATTTTTTATTTGTATTGCGCTTACATCAGATATGATTTGTTTTTTCTTCATACCAGTACATTGGTTGTTCTTCGCTGCCAGTACTTATGTTTGGGTACAATACGTATGGCATACAGGTGAACATATAAGTTATACACGATTACCTTTTAACCTGTGAACTGGGATTAATTATTTAATACACCATTTGTGTATATTTACATTTTAGTTTTTACCCTCGTATAAATTTTAGTATAGACTGTGTTAAATATATTTATAAAGAAAAAAAGTTGTTACCAGTCTACAGGTTGGTAAATATTATAATGAACAATGAAACTAATGAAAATATAATACTGTTGTTAAATAGACAAAGGTGTGTGTTTACCGACTGTGATGCTATGGTTACTATTTCTATACATAGAGGCAGCAGTACGATTAAGAGATTTACGACATATGCCTTTTCATTTGGATCTATGTCGACCATTTGCAGCACATTGGTACATATATACGTATATACACATACATAAAAATTCTGCTATTTAGTATTAAATTGTGATATTAATATTTGAAAATATTGCTTGTTTTCAGCATTGGTTATCCTGTAGTTACATTAGGTTTTGGTTTTAAAAGTTTTATTGGTCACAGAATGAGAGAGGTAAAAGTAATTTTAAACTTAATATGAATGGTTTCTGTACAAAAAAAAATGTTACAATGTTTATATATGAACATTTATTCCACCAGAGGAAACAAAAAGATGTGGCAAAAGAAAACGAGTTTTACCTACAATTATTGCAGCAAGCACTGCCTTTAGAACAACAAATTACAACAGTGCAACAGATTCAGCAAGTGCAATCACAATCACAATCACATGTTACTTCATCGTTCGAGCAACATGTGAAAATACAATCTAATAAATTTTGTCCGCAATATAATCCGAGTCCTGAAAAGAGCAGAGGTAGTTTGTATTTATTTTCATCTTCCTATGCGTTCTAGATACAATGTCCATTAAAATCTAGTGTCATGTGATTTCATAATTGAATGCATTATAGGGTGCAGTAACAACTCTGCGGAAGTAGGTATACAAAATGGTAATTTACATATAGGTTCACAAATTACATCACAAGCTCAAGGTGCTACAACAAAAAATAATCATAGAAAGTCCTTAGACAAAGGTGAAAAACAAGAGGAACAACAGCACAATAAGCATAATATAACGAATATATCACAGTCCGATAAGAATGACAAAAGGTTTATACATACGAACGGTAATACCGTAACACACAATGACATACAATTTATTGACAGAATCGGGTAAGTAATTCGTTGCACACGTATGAATATACATGATGTTCAAGAAGTTTATTAATCCACCCAACGTGTAAAATACAGATCTGTGAATGATTTTGATGCGAATGAAATAGAGAAAGACAAATTTGTCAAAAGTGGGAATTGCGGACATACCACAGTGAAGTCACAGACCAATGGTTCTGTAACCGGCAAGTGGAATAATATAAAAGACAGTCGAGAACCATCGACCACAGTTAATACTCAACGTGAACGTAAAACTCGTCAAATTAAAACCCCCGTTGATAATATAAATGAGCAACAAAAACAGCAAGACGAATATTGTCAAAGGTATATCACATCATTCAATTATCACGACAGAAAATATTACCGATTCAATTTCCTGTATATCCTCTTTCCGTAAACTTCGAAATTTTATGCTGAACCTTCGAATGTGTGACGTGTTTTCATTCTCGGTGAGCGCTCTACCAAAGGAAAAGAGAAGCTCATACAATGATGGAGTATCAAAGTTATTGTTAAATCTTTCTTTAGTGTAATTTGGTATCATTTAAATAGGTTACTGATGTGTCGCAGGCTCGAGGCTGACATAAAGCGCTTGAAGTCAGACTTGCAATCCAGTCGACAACTGGAACAGGAACTTCGTTCGCAAATAAATACTCTACAGAATGGAGAACGCCAAGCTAAGGGTGACATACAACAACTTCAGCACGACAATGATCAGTTACAGAGCAAGTGAGTAAATAAAAGTACACTGCACACTATCAAACATATATATACATATATCTTTCGCATTATTAGCGTATGAATTGTTAAAGAAATCTGTTGAATCTGTCTGAAAATTGTCTTCACTCTTAATTGTTTTTAATTGACCAGTGTACGCGTGATTTTTTTGTTAATATTTATGTATGTAATAGATTACACGGATTAGTAACAGCTCGTCAATTAGATAAACAAACGATGTCGTCATTGGAGAAAAGAATCGCGGAAGAAAGGAAACAGAGAACAGCCTGCGAAGCGACTTTAGTTTCTGAAAGACGAGCGCGACGAGCCGCTGAAGAAGCACGCTCCGCTATTCCACCTCCACCTCCGCCACTTATTAGACAAGAATGCACTGAATCGTGTAAAACTCGTAGGTCGCAAATGGAACAAGACCTTAAAAATTTACGGCGAGAACTTAAAACGAAAGAAGAAAGGTAAAATTTCTATATTCGAGATACAGGCTGTCGTAAGAAGATGTTACCGCGCTTTGATTCTTTAAAAACTGTTTATTAAACATCGTATAATGCGCGTTCAATGCAATGAAATCGAGTGTTTCTTTCTCCAGCTAATAAAGTGTAGTAACATTTCTTCCGTGAACCCCTGTATTTCAGCGGTATACCAATAAAAGAGCAAAGCGTACATGCTTCATGTTTGACATCGCAGTTTACAGAACTTAATAATTTTGTTATCAGGTGTAGTGTACTGGAAAAGGACGTTACACGTTGCAAGGAGAACCACAAAGAGTCTGAAATTTTACTTGGAGCACTTAACGCGCTTCAAGACAAAACTGCTCATTTAGAAGACAGTTTAAGTGCAGAGACACGCATAAAACTTGATTTATTTTCTGCACTTGGTGAAGCCAGGCGACAGCTAGAAATTAAAGACAGTAAGTACAATTTCATTTTCATATTTCTGACGATCGTACAGAGTGTACATTTGAATATTATCGAATGAAGCGATGAAACTAGAGTTCGCATTGAATATTTCTGAGCATATTGTTAGGTCGCGCGACGTTTATGTTATTCAAAAGTTCAATGCAATAATGAATATAAAGTGTAAGATATATATTTTGTACATCATACATTTTATGTTGAATCAGGTTTAATTAGATCTCAAGAAAAGGAAATTGAAATGCTAAAAACAAAAATAGCCCAAGATTTAGCTGTGATGCCACAAGATACGTTTGGTCCTGCGCCAACCTGCGCGACATCTAAGCTTCGGTTGAATAATGAAGTGCGAGTCGCAGTTACAAAAATACGTTCTAACGAAAGTCCCCGCCCAGGGTGTACAGTGTCGAACTTGGATCCAAACGCGACAGCATATACACCTAAGAATTCCCTAATAGCGTCTACCGAAGCTTAAAAACTGCAATTTTTGCCACACTTAAGACTTCACAGAAAATTGAATATAAATTACCTAAACATGTTTCAAGTGTGTTTCTCAATGGAAATCTAAACGCGAGCTTAGATTCAACGTGTGCGCCGATGAACTTGAATCCCGGCGGAATAAAAATGAATTCCAACAAGAAAATCATTGAATCCATCTCTGGAATATATTTGTACTTGATACTTTTTTCCAGAAAGTCGTACGTTGTATTTTAATTTTCTTTTCAAATTAGAGGGAAGCGTGATAGTTTGACTAGAATGAAACTTTTATATAATTTAGCCGTACGAAAAGTTGCAAAACCTCTGATTTCTCTTGACATCTCTATTTGTATAGAATGTTTATAATATTTTACCGAAGACCAACGCGCGTCTAGTACTTTTTCATACGTCCTCTTCGAGTCGAATGCTTAGAGGCATCTTTTTAATGTCTTCCGTGAGAGACTTCTAGAAACATGTTTTGCATCTCATTTGTCATCTAAAATGACACATTGTTATTAACTATACATGACCATAGGACGCGACTACTAATGAGTTAAAAAATATTTAAGGAGCTAGTTGCGTCCTATTAAACATGCTGTAGGTTGATCTTACAGATTTCCACTTCGATTGCATCAACTGATTTCGAGCAACAATATAATATACAGGCGATCCAGTTATCGTAATAATCGTTACCCCTTTATATTTAATGAATTTTATCCTACCATTTTATTAGCAACGCGATTGCGAGTTATATCACTTAAGAAGGAAACAGGATTGGAAATCTTCAATTATATCTTTTTGATATTAATGTTTTATAGTCGATCCGTAAAAGCACGTGAAATATCAGTAAAGTTGATTAGCAAATAGAGAGAAATGTTGTATCTCTTATTTTCTGAAAGTGTCAGAAGACTAAAAGAACTTGGTCTGTATTTGATCCTCCTACAGCATATGCCTAAATCTATGACGACTTGTTATAGGCACAAATCTTTCTCAAGTCGTAATACGAAGCTAGTCCAGCATACAAACTGTATTTAATGTCTTTGGCAAGTGAAGCCATTTTAAGTCATGTGATCATCCAAAACCAGCCATTAATATACATTGAAAATACCTGCCGTTGTTCATCATTCAAGAAGATTGATAGAAAATGTCAAAACGCCAAATTCATTTTTAAATGATCATCGTTATTTCGATACTCTTATTTCTGTGCTTTTTACATACTTTTAAATGCTTATAATTTATTAGTTTAGCGATATACTTTGTGTATTGGCTTTCGAACGGTGCGAAGTGTTAAAATATTTTGTAACTGTTTTTTTCTATATATACATGTATGTATATATATATATATATAAATTTTAAGTTAAACTCACGGTCTAATTTCTTCGTAACGGGAGAGTCTGATCTAATTTGAAGATTTTAAATAAATTCTAGAATATGAATTTACGTGGTACTAAATATATTATATACTGAACATATTTGAGTCGTCCAACGTCTAACAGTGAACTCTTTTCTTCAAATTATATAGCTTCAAAATTCGTATTACTTTGTAATGTCATTAATAATCAAATTATATGACATTCTGTTGACTTGTCTAAATGGAAAAGTTTATCTGTAAAATACTTTACTTGCAAGTGTTACAATTTAAATTGCTTCTTTTTAATACAGATTATATATATATAATAAAACTCGATTACTCTGAATAGAGCATGGTATGTAGCATTCGTACGATCCATCGTTTCATATATGATTTTTATATGAGACTCTTTTCTTTTAAGTTCTCTTAGCCTTAATATTGGAATAACATTAAATAAATTT